ACCCAATTTTCCACTTCATATGTTTGAAGGGCTGCTCTGACAGTGTGTGCCATCAATAGGAACAAGTGCTAATCTGAAGGAGCAAGGTCTGGTGAATACAGCGGATGGGTTAATACTTCCCAGGCAAGATCTTTTAACATGTCTTTAACTGTTTTTGAAGTGTATGGTGGTGTGATATCATGAAGCAAAATTACTTTGCAGTGTCTTCCGGCATATTCTGGTCATTTCACAAAACATGGTTCAAATTGATTATTTGTTGTCAGTAGCGATCAGATTTATGATTTCACCTGGTTTTAGAAGCTCCTAACACACCACACCTTCCTGATCTCATCAAATGCAGAGCATTGTCTTTCCGAAGCAATTTGGCCTTGTAGTTGATGTTGATGGTTAACCTAGGTCAACTCATGATTTTGTGCTTTTGGGATTCTCAAAATAAATCCACTTTTTAGTGCCAGTCAAAATTGGATGCAAAAAAGTCTTTCATGCTGTTGAAGCAATATTTTACTGGTGATTTTTCAATTTTCCATTTGTCTTTCATTCACTTAGTGTGGCATCCATTTTCCTTCCTCTAAAATCTTTTCCATTGCTGGTAAATGATGGGAAATTATTTGCTGAGCAAAGTTTAATCTTTCTGCAAGTTGTTTTTGAGTTTGACACGCATCTTCATCCAATAATGCTTATAATTATTGGTCTTCAAACTTTTTCAGTTGACTTGGATGTTGTCTTTCATATCAAAATCATCACTTTTAAAGCATTTAAACCAGCATTCACAAGTATCTTGAGATGGAGCTTGTTCACCATAAGCTTCCCAAAGTATACGATAATTTTCAGCAGCACTTTCTTCAAAATAAAGTAATGGATTAGAACTTAGTGTAAATGCTTTATTTTTGGCCCAAAACTTGACATATGAAGTTTTTAAGCTTGCCAATACAACAAAATAGCATACTCATCAAATTGCATATTTATCAACATATGTGTAACTCTATTGAAAAAAATCTGCTTTGCCGAAACCGGTTTGGCTCAGTGGTAGAGCATCGGTCTGCGGACTGAAAGGTCCCAGGTTCGATTCCGGTCAAGGGCATGTACATTGGTTGCGGGCACATCCTCGGTGGGGGGTGTGCAGGAGGCGGCTGGTCGATGTTTCTCTCTCATTGACGTTTCTGGCTCTCTGTCCCTCTCTCCTCCTCTCTGTAAAAAATCAATAAAATATATATTTTTTTAAATCCGCTTTATTAACCAATACATCTGGTAGTTGTTATACTGCATTGTTTAGGGAATAATGATAAGAAAAAATGTCTGTACATGTTCAATACAGACACAGCCATTGTATTGTAGGTCTAACTGCTTAGTACACATCAGCAACAATGTAGTTTGTTGGCTTTTTTAAAATTTTTTCAATATATTGTTGCTTGGCTCTGCAGATTTGGAACCAAAGGATAGATAGGGAGGGTTGACTATATGCTTAAATCCATGATTTTATAATAATATTTAAAATAACATCAGTCATTAACCATCTTTGGAAAGTGATAGGGAACCCAACTTATTTTGACAATTGGTAATTGAAACAAGTATTTGTGCTGCTTTGCTATGTGATCTGTACTTCATCAAATAATTGATGAAAAGTTATTTTTTAAAATTTTATATGATAAATTTTTATGTTCAGATTATTACAGGTGTTCCTCTTTTTCCCCCCATAGCTCCCCTCAAAAGTTTCTTTTTATAGAAGTATTTTAACCCATAAATGAAGAATGGTAAAAGTAGAGTATCATCACTTTGCAACCCTATAAAATTATAATTTATATGAAATTTAGCATGTCCCCCCAAAATGTGTACACACTTTGAATAATCATATTAAATTTGAAAATAAACATAAAATGAGCTATCAGCTGTTAAGTGTGTATGCATTTTTATGTGACACCTTAAATATATGATACTAGGCACCCAATGTATGAAATTTGTGCAAGAGTAGGCCTTCCTTCCCCCAGCTTCCCTCCAGCACCCAGGACCTGGGCTTCACCTGCTGCAACACGCTGGTCAGTGGCCTGGGCCTCCCTCTGCAGGGCGATCATGAGGTGATGGCTGGGCCCCCAACCAATTGCATTGCACCCACCTTGGCTGGCTTGGAGCCAGTGGGTGTCATAGCATGGTCCTGGATGGTTGGAGGTCGTTCTGTTGCTCGGGCATTTGGATGATTTGCATATTATGCTTTTATTATGTAGAATAGTCTTCATCCCTGTTTCTGGCACACGTAGTTTGTTTCTATGATTTGGCTAATTGTGAATAATGCTGCAATAAATATGGAGGTGCAAATATATTTTCAAGATAGCACTTTTATTTTTTACAGTTAAATATTCAGAAGGTATTGCTGGATCATAAGGTAGTTGTAATTTTTTTTTCTTTAGAAACCTCCATACTGTTTTCCCTGATGCAGTGATTCTTTTCACTGCACAGCACAGTGAGTAGAGAAGCCATCAGAAGACTAGAATTTCAGGTGCATCTGAACTGTAAACCAGCTGCCCCTGCCCCAATACTTTAGGAGAAGAGACTGAGTAGGTGAACTGTTTCAGGTACATGCCTGATGTGACTCATTGTCTCTGTTACCACCACTGGAGCACTAAACGAGACTCCTGACTGCTCTCTCTTGGGTTCACATCCTTCCCCACTCATCACAACAGTCTCAAAACAGCAGTCAGAGTAATCTTTCAAAAACATAAATCATATTTTATTCTTCTCCTTAAAACTTTCCAGTGGTATTTATCTTTCTCTGATTGGCCTATTTCACTTAGCATACTGATCTCCATTTCATTTATGCTGTTGCAAATGGTAAAAAAAAATCACATAATCTCACTCATTTATGGACTATAATGAACAACATAAACTGATGAACAAAAACAGATCCAGAGACAGAGAAACCAATCAGACCGTCAAACCTCAGAGGGAAGGTAGGAGAAAATGGTGTAAGGGGGAGAGGTCAACCAAAGGGCTTGTATGCATGCATTTGGGCCTAACCAATGAACATAGACAACAGGGGGGTGAGGACATGAGTGGAAGAGATGGGGAGATAATGACACAAATGTAATAATAAATTAAAAAAAATAACTTTCCAGTGGTTTTTCCAGCTCACCTAAAATAAAATCTAAAAACTTTACCATGGCCTCATGCTATCTCTAATGACTATCACTCCATTGTACCCCACTAGCTTTCTTGCTGTTCCTCTAACATTCCTTGTTCTCTCCAAGCTCAGGTCCTTTACATTGATCTGTTCCCTGTCTTTGGAATTGTCCTTCTTCCAGATAATTGCATAATTTTTTATTTATTTATTTACTAGAGGCCAATTGCATGAATTTGTGCACAAGTGAGGTCCAGCTGCCCCCCATATATAAGGCCTGGCCAGAGGGGGGAGAGGCTGTGGGCAGTTGTCCAGCTGGCACCGCCCCCAATCCGGTGGAGGACTGATTGGGGAAATTGGGGGTGTGGTCAGCTGGGAGGAGGGGAGGCTGGCTAGAGGCGTGGCCAGCCAGGGGAGAGGCCACTCCAAATGAACTGGTTGGCTGGCTACAGTGCGTGTCATAGCAACCAATCATTCCAGTTGTTACAGTGTTCCGGTTGCTTGGCTTTTATATAGATAGATTTTTGAGAGAGAGGAAGGGAGAGAGAAATATCTGTTTGTTGTTCCACTTATTTATGCATTCATTGGTTGATTCTCAGAAGGGGTATTGTTCTATAGCTATAAAAGGCTAAGTTGACTTGAGCATGTGTGATAGTACATATAAAGCTCTTACTACCGTGTTTCCTCGAAAATAAGACATCCTCCGAAAATAAGACCTAGCGCATGGAAAGATAAGACATCCCCTGAAAATAAGACCTAGTGCAACTTTGGGAGAAAAAATTAATATAAGACACTCTTATTTTCGGGGAAACAGGGTAGTGCTAACGCATGTGTGTGTTTTGATCTGTCATTGTCGATCATGAATTTGGTTGACACTATTATAAAGGGCGAATAGTGATATTAAAATACTTCTTTTAATTAATTTCCACAAATTCATGCACTGCATCTCCAGTTGTTAAATAAATGAATACCTGCATCGCTTCCTCCCTTTCTTTCCCTCCCCTCCCTTTCTTGAAATCTAGTCAAGTGCAACCTTCCCTGTGAAGTCTTTCTTGAAGACCCTATATAAAATAGCATCTTTTTCCCTACACACACATAGAGACCATCTTCTTATCCTGTTTTTTAAAAAATGTCACTTAGTACCATTTGACATAGTATTTTTTACTCATTGTCTCTTTTCTCTGTAGGTTTCAATTTCCATGAAGGAGAAGAGACGCCTGTATCGCCAACGCCTTAGAAGAGCTTTGAACTCTTTTGGTAGGTACTCAGTGGTTATTTCCTGGACGAATTAATGAACCAATTCTGTCCGAAAGCATTCCCGCCGCGAGCACAGACACTGCCATGAGGTTTCCGGCACAATCGAGAGCTCGCCCGTGGGCTCCTTCACTCCATATGACTCCTCAAAGAAAGACACTGCTCTTCGCTGGGAACTGCAAAAACATCGGTGCTCTCCAGTTCATTTCTGCCCCTAAAATTTAACCAAAGAACTGACAGCCCGGGCCAATGCGGCGAATGAAAGTATTTAGCAAGTCACTTTGTAAACGGTAAGACGTTCGTCGAAGTTTAACGGATTTACTTGACTGCCATCAGCATTGTCAAGCAGCTGGAGAACAACAGCCAGTTCCCAGTGGAAGAGTCCTGGCCAGCCGGATGGGGACCCGCCCCGGGGACTCAGGATTGGCGGAGGCTAACCTGGCACCGCCCCGTCCGCGATGGGGCGGGCGTTTGGGCGTGGCTGTCTCCCAGGCTCGCGGGCAGGGCGGGGCGAGGCGGGATGACGTCATTTCCCTACTGGGCTCAGGATTGGCGGAAGCCTACAGGCCCCGCCCCTGTCGGCCTAGGCGCGCTCAGGGGCGGGGCCACGGGGAGGAGTCACGGGGCGGGTGGGGGCCGCGCGGGGCGGAGTGGCCGGGCCGGGGCTGCGGCTAAGTTGGGGCTGGTGATGCTGCGGCTGGGCCGGCTTGCCAGGCTTGGGCGGAGGCCGAGGGATGGCGAACGTGCGGGTGGCCGTGAGGGTGCGGCCTCTCAGCAAGAGGTGAGTGCGGGCGGGAGGGGGCGCCTGAGGCGTCAAGTGAGTGAGGAGGACGAGGTCCCCGCCTCCCCGCTGGGGGGCCATCCCACACAAAGTGGCCCAGCGGCCGGGGTCCGGAAACCTTAGAGGCCTGGCAAGGGGAGACCTCGGCTTGAGCTTTCGCGTTGTGCCCCGGGGGATAGCGGTTCCTGGATGGACAGGGTGGGCTGCCCCGCTTCGGGGCCCCGCCAGCAGATGTGAGGGACCACAGCCCAAGTGTTGAGGCAGGAGTTGGGCGTGCCTGGCTGGGTTTGTGGAGAGGGCTGCGGAGCGGGGCTGTCAGTCTCCGCGCTCTGCCCGGTGGCTCTCGGTACTTCTGCGGGTACCGAGGCGGCATTGTGGGTGCACGTGGGTTTCTCTGCGAAGGTGTGGAGAAAGCCCGCTTGTAAGGTCTGAGAGGGAAACTGAGGCCCAGAGAGGTAATGGCTTCATGCTATGCTAGGTAGCAGAATCGTGCAATAGGGGAAGTTATTCTAACCCCTTCTTTCGGCTCAGCGTTGGCAGCGCCCGTTTCCTCCTGGGTGAATCTGATTCTGCACCTCTCAGCTCTGGAGGCATCTAGTGCCCAACCACGTGATTTCTTCCCCTTTTCACTAACTTTGCATCCGTAGGTTTGGGAAGTCAGGGAAAGCTTCACAGAAGGGTTGGTGTTTGAACCCCACCTTTAAAAAAAAATCTTTATTGTTGAAGGTATTACAATATGTCCCCCCCTTTTCCCTCACCGACCCCTCTAGCTCGCTCCAGCCCCAGACCCTCACCACCCCACTGTCTGTGCCCATGGGTTATGCATACATGCATGAACTGTTTTTTAAAGACCTATGAGAGTTTGCTGATAGGTGGAGAAGGTGTAAAAAAGCACTGTGTAGTAAAACACTGAGAGTAAAGGACTCTTAGACTATTAAGAAACAGGTAAGTTTGGTTATTTGGGGAGAAGGTATGTGGAGGGAAGTGAGTAATAGGACATAAAGCTGTGGAGAGTGTGATTTGGGACCAGTGGCACATATTGAAATTGTTTGGGACGTTAACAGATTTCTGGGACTATCTTATGATGGCTTGAAAATTGGGCAGAAGGCTCAAAAAGATATTGTCTCCCATAATAAAATTCGGTGCTAGCAGGGATTGTGTTTGTCCTGATATGGAGGTGATTGGCTTCAAAAAGTCATGTAGCTGACAGAATAATGAGGAGAGGAGTGAGATGGGGGTAGAAACAAGAAAAACAGAAAAGAAAGTAGGAAAAAGGTAAAAGGGGTACAATGAAGAAAAAAAGGAAAGCATCACATGCCTGAACTGCCCCTTTAGACTGGTAAATTGATTACATCTGGCTTCTGCTTTACCAGGTGTGGTGGCTCAAGGTTGGTTTGTTGACTTTTTCTTTTTCTTTTTGTTAATTGTCACCCAATGATATTTTTTTCTCAAAATGGGAGGGGAAGAGACAGAGAGAAACATTGGTGTGAGAGAGACACAGTGATCGGTTGCCTACCACACATGCCCCAGGATGGGGATTGAACTTGCAACTGAGGTACATGCCTTTGAGAAAAAAAAAAAAAAAAAAATATATATATATATATATATATATATATATATATATATATACATATACACACACATACCTACACACACATATACATACATACATATATTTGCCTCCCATACATTCCCTGACCAGGGATAGAAACCAAAACCTAGGTATGTACTCTGACTGGGAATCGAACTCACAACCTTTTGGACAATCCAAGCAACTGAGCTACCTGCTTTTAAGTGTTCTCAGGATAACAACATTGACTACTCCTCACAATAACTTCTCTGTTCCTTGGGAACTAAGAATTTATAGTTGCATGGATTAGATTAAGGAAATGCTGTTGAAATGGAATTGTTATTTGCAGTCACAGTAGAGAATAACATCTCATTAAACAAAAGTGAGATGGAAAGAAGGTCGCAAAGCTTATTTACTGAGCTCGTGGGAAGATCCTTGCACAGCAGACAGTAGTTTGTCAGGGCTGCAGATGACATCCAGGTGCGAGTGATTCCAGCCGGCTGAAGATTCAGGAACACGGGTTCAGGAGTAGATCTGATGCTTTCAGCCACTTATGGAGACAGACACTGTGGCTATGGAGGCAGGAGTAGGGAAACATTTTGTCCCAATAGCACTGGGCTCAGCTTCTCTTTTCTTGGTTAAGAAAAAGAAAGTAACGTTTTTTTTTTATGGGTTTGGGTCTCGTTTCTAGGGAGGTCAAAGAAGGAGGAAGAATTATTGTGGAAATTGATGGCAAAGTGGCAAAAATCAGGAATTTAAAGGTAAGCCTGAAATTGTTTTCCTTTTTCTCTCCACTCAGGGGCTCGTATCATAACAGGGCTTCTGAGGTGAAAGTGTGTATGTGCATTTGTTTAGAGAGGGAGAGTGTAAGAGCTTTGCCCAACCGCCAAGCAAATATTAAAAAAATAGGAAAAAAGTGCCGGGCATGTTGCTGCTGCAGCTCAAGTTCCATCAAATAGGATGAGCTGTTTTGGAAACTGGGCAGTAGCCTCTTTGAAAGTAAACACAAGGGACGCATGGGAGGCAGGCATGGCCAGCTTAGATCATGTTGGGGACAGTCCATGTGTATACTTAACTCACCTGCGCCCTCGTTAGACTTTGTCCCAAGCCTCTCATTTCGAATCATTTGGTCTAGAGGTGTGTGCATCTGCTAATGCAGGATTCATCTTGGCCACAGGGAGGACCAAATAAGAACCTTCAGATCACAGAAGAGAGTAAGTCACTAGGCTGAGTCTTATTACAAATTCTCTTTCACAGATTTGATAGATTTTTGAGTCACAATTGGACAAACTCTGAGTACTTCCTCCTTTACCCCTCTCCACCTCTAAGGCTAATTTGCTCCATCCCATTCCTCTCTTCCCAGGCTAGTGAAAGTGATTCTTTTCCTTGGCCTTGGAGAGTGGAGAGTAACAGAGTGAGGGTTATCTGGACCCCAGGCCTCCCAGCCATGTCCACTCACGTATTACTCTTGTGATGTGATGTTTTCTTTTGTCGGTAGCCCTCCGCTAAAAGAGAACAGGAACCGTCAAACTGTCAACAGGAGCTCCCTGGGGACAAAAGACCTTTTATTCTTTGCTGCCTCTTACTTATATCTCTGTTGCCTAATCACTTCAGCTGCTTTGTTCCGAGAGATCATATTTTTGGTTCTTAATAATTCCTGGCCAAGATCAAACTCGAATCTGCCTCTTGCATACCTTGCTGGCTGGTTGCCTCCCTGAGGTCAGTTATCTAAGAATCTCTTGGTCATTCTGACAGCCCCATTCTACTGTGATCTGTGGATCCTACTGCTAAGCCTTGTCTCTCCCTGTCCAGAGTCTGAATTTTAAATAGAAAAGACAGGCATTTCTGTGAATAACGCCATTCTCCCCAGCACAGTACCTTGAGGTTGTTGGTACAATTCCAAGCTCTGGCCTCATTTACCTTGGGCAGTTGGATTGGTCCTAACTCTTCTGTCCAATATGCTTTCTATTTCACTGTGAAATCCTTAGGTTGATAGAGCCTGTCAGCCCAGGGACTAAAGTATTCATGTATTTCTGTACCTGCTGTAGAAATACTTACTGGGAAAAACGATAGAGATAAGAAGATGCCTGGAGATGTGAGGTTTCTCTCCCAAGGTGTTCTATATCTCATTTGTAGGCAGATATGTGATAGTATGATAGATAGATATTTAATTAATTCTCCATGGCTTTATCAAGATGAGGACAGAGGTTACTTGTGTGTTTTTTTAGATAGATATCATAGAGATTCTCATGACCAGTTCAGGTCTTGCTAGCTACAGCAGAGAGGAATCTAGTGGACTAGCCAGATTCTGGTATTATATTATAATAGAGAAGACACTGGATCCTATGTTTGATTTTAGGTGGACAGTCGATCAGATGGCTTTGGCGACTCCCGGGAGAAGGTTGTGGCATTCGGCTTTGATTACTGCTACTGGTCCGTCAACCCAGAGGACCCCCACTATGCATCTCAGGATGTGGTAATGTCATTTTTCCTTCACTCTAATCAGTTTTTTGTAACTGTATAATTATTGGGAAATTAACATGGAATATGGACCCTTCATATTTCTTACTTATGGTAATTTGGTTAGAAACTAACGATGTTTAATCTAAAAAGTGGTAGTGAGAGACATCAGTTGCAGAAAGAGGAAAGGACTGCTTGCTCAGGGCATGGGACTTGGCTAGTGTTTATTTAGGCTTCGGGCTCAGTATGACTCAGTGGGTACAAGTCAGGTTAGGTAGTGGTCTGCTCCTATGGTAAGTGAGTGGGCTCATGTCAAACTTGGCCTTGTGTTGCATGCAATGGAAGGGCCCAGGAATCCTAGAGGCTAGTATCTTTGTGCCTCAGGCTTATGCTTCTAGACTGAGTGTAAAGGGCTAGATAGCTCGTCTGCCAGCCTGCAATGTACATAAGAGGTGAATTCTGTTGATCTGGTGAGGATTGAGAGAACCAGCTAAGGCTGTTGGTTATGCTTCCTGTGTCTGGTAGTGCTGCCTAGCTCTCTCACAAGTAAACGAGGCAGCAGGTCTTACCAGGTGGATGGATCTACAGCAGCATTTTTCAACCGCTGTTCCGCGGCACACTAGTGTGCCGCGAGATGTTGCCTGGTGTGCCGTAGGTGCAGACAAGACAAGAATTTTATGATTTTTCACTATTTTGTTTACTTAATATTTCATAATAAAGTAATTATAAAATACTTTCTTTGTGTTTATTTGATTCCTATTCAAGAGAATTACTTTATATATAGTCAATATAGGCACAGAGTTAAATTTTTTAACATTTTCTAATGGTGGTGTGCCTCGTGATTTTTTTCATGAAACAAGTGTGCCTTTGCCCAAAAAAGGTTGAAAAACACTGATCTACAGGACTTCCCTCTGTTTCTGTGAAGCAACAGCATTGTTCTGATTTGTCCTGTCCAAGGTCATGACTTCAGTCCCCATGCTGGCCAGCAAGCCTTGCCTCATTCAATTCTATGACTACAGACAATAACCCTCACCCCAGGAACCTCCAGGGATTCTATGAAAATCTATCCCTAAAATTAGAAATATTATTTATTTGGCCTTCATGGACCAGTATCATCATACTTATACATCTGAAAGAAAACACTACAGGAGTATGTCATTAAGAAATATCATTGGAAAGGGAAATCTTTTGTGGGGGAACCCTGGACAGCAATTGCCTATCTGCCTATATACCTTTGAATAAAAAGCCAAAGTGTTTTCTAAGTATTTTAGTCTTTTTTGTTTGTTCGTTCATTTGTTTTTGTTAATCCTCACCTGAGGGTATTTTTTTCCATAGTTTTTTAGAGAGTGTAGAAAGGAGTGGGTAGAGAAACCCAGAGAGAGAAACATAAATTGATTGCTTACTACAGGAGCCCTGACCAGGGCTGGGGATCCATTCTAAAAATGGGACACATGCCCTTGTCCGGAATCTGACCTGGGACCCTTCAGTCTGCCGGCTGGTCCTCTATCCACTGAGACAAACCAGCTAGGGCAGTATTTTCATTTTTGGTGAAACTTTCTAATTATGCCATAAGAACAATGTTATTGAGTGACTTAGAGGACAGTACTGACCTTCCATTGATGCACATTTCTTTCTTTTTAAAAAAAATATATTTTATTGATTTTTTTCACAGAGAGGGAGAGTGATAGAGAGTTAGAAACATCGATGAGAGAGAAACATCGACCAGCTGCCTCCTGCACACCCCCTACTGGGGATGTGTCTGCAACCAATGTACATGCCCTTGACCTGAATCGAACCTGGGACCTTTCAGTCCACAGACCAATGCTCTATTCACTGACCTAAACTGGTTTCGGCCGATGCACATTTCTAAAGATGATTGGATAGTTCTAAACCTTTTGAGGGGAACATGTGGAAACAAGACCAAAGGCCATTGTGGTATTTGTTGTCTCTGTGAGTTCTTTCCCCTATCTTTGTAGTCAAACTGGATTTGCTGTAAATCCTCGGCAGAAAAAGGCAGAGTGGGCATTACATGGCCCCTGCTGAGCCTTCTCTGTCCTTTGGAGATGAAGGAGCTGGCAGGCGCAGGCTTGTCTAATGGTTCTTGATTTGTATCCCAGCACCCAAGTATTGCTGAGGTGTCTGGTTACTGGTATTTGTACTTGTTTTACTGAGATTCTCCAAGAAAAGCCAGGAAAGAAATCGACTCTCAAATAAGAGGATGGAATGTTTACAGCAGTTCACAGTTGTGACTATTTGTGACATAGAAGGCAGTGCTCTTCCTATTAGTAGAAACTGTGAACATGCTGGTAGCTATTTCAGTCCTCACTGGCCATAGCACACTTAGAGCTGGCTGTTCTGTAACTAAGAAAAATGAACTGTTTTGTGTAACATTTGATACAATCAATAACCTGGGAGGTGTGTGTATATTTGCAAATAAAAAAACTACATATATATATCTCAATAAGCTGGGGTATGATTTTGTGTGAGGCTTACATTTTACAGTTATGTAGTTTAAATGTATAAACATAATCTAGTGGAAGCTTAGAAGTCCATAGATGAGGAGGATTCATAAATATGACTTTTCCTTTGTTGCCTCATATGATTTGAAGTTTGATGGAAAGATCAAATGGGATTTTGGTCAGGAAGCCTGTGCAGAGAGATAAAACCGAGTGTCCCGAGGTTGATTCTGTTTGTTTATTAATTGTCTAAGAAAGGCCTCATTGGTCCCAAGGGGAATCAGGATAGGAGAGAGAAGCAAAGGAAACTTTGTCACAAGATGGAGTAGGGCCAGAGGTCCCAGAATGGTATCAGGACTCACATCCATATGATTTGGTCAGAGGATTTTATTACTTTAACACAGACATTAGAGACTAGACATTATTCTAATCACTATGGCTCTGAGCTCACCAGGGAGTAGGAGAGGTAGATCATCCTAAAATCATAGGACTTGGGATGGGAAGGAATAGAGGTATCATCCAGTTTATCCTCTTCCAAAGTACAGCTATCTTCTCTGCAGCATTGGTGATCATATTTAGGAGGTTGTAGAGAAAGGGGTCAGTCTTATTGAAGTATAATTTAGATACAGTAAATTCACCCTTTTAGTGTACAGTTCTATGAGTTTTGACAAGCACAGTTGTGTAATTTACCATCTATACTAATAAAAGAGTAACATGCTGCCCTGACCAGTTTGACTCAGTGGATGGAGCGTCGGCCTGTGAACTGAAGGATCCTGGGTTCAATTCTGGTCAAGGGCATGTACCTTGGTTGTGGGCACATCCTCAGTAGGAGGTGTACAAGAGGCAGTTGATCGATCTTTCTTTCTCATTGATGTTTCTAACTTTCTTTCCCTCTCCCTTCCTCTCTGTAAAAAAAAAAAAAAATGCTGAAACCAGTTTGGCTCAGTGGATAGTGTTGGTCTGCAGACTGAAAGGTCCCAGGTTCAATTCCGGTCAAGGGCATGTACATTGGTTGCAGGCACATTCCCGGTGGGGGGTGTGCAGGAGGCAACTGGTCGATGTATCTCTCTCATCGATGTTTCTAACTCTTTATCTCTCTCCCTTCCTCTCTGAAAAATCAATAAAATATATTTTTAAAAATCAATAAAATATATTAGAAAAAAAAGAGTAACATGCTAATTGACTTTACCTTCAACATGCCTATCAGCCAATCAGGAATGAGTATGCAAATTAACCAAACAAAGCTGGCAGGTTAATTTGCATATGTGGGCTCTGAGCTGCTGGGGGTGGAGGGGTGCTTGCATTGTTGTCATGGTGACAATGCAGGCGTTCTGCACCACCCCAGCGGTTCAGGGCCTTGGGGCAGTGTGGGAAGACGGAAAGGCGGCTCCAGGCTGGACCTGAAAGGCAGCTCTGCCAGAGCGAAGGTGGTGCCAGCAGCCAGGGGAAAGAGGGTCCATTTTTGCACGAATCTTTGTGCATTGGGCCTCTAGTTATATATAAAACAGTGCATCACCCCCAAATTCCCTCATGTTGCTTTGTAGCCACGCTGCTTCTTACCCCCACCCACTGGTAACCACTGATTTGTGTTCTGTCCCTACAGTTTTACCTATAGGATATCTATAAATCTAATAAAACTGAGTGTAGCCTTTTGTTCCAGGAGGTCTACAAAAGTAATAAAACAGTGTGTAATCTTTTGTGTCTGGCTGCGGCTTTTTTTTTTTTTAGTTTGGTTTCTATCATGTAGTCAAGATTCATCTCTGCTGTTGTGTGTATAACATCTTATTCTGACCTTGATTCAGAATTATTTAATCTGCTTGCCCAGAAGGAAACTCATGGCTTTGGAAGCACTGATTTTAATTGCAAAGAGGGGCCACATCCTTGGAGGACTGTGCCTCCTCCATCTCTAGGTCTCTTCTTGTTGTGAAGGAAGAACTATCATCACCCTCAGAAATACAGCTCTGATTTCAGAATATCCAAATATCTGAGGGAAAAACTTCCCCCACTGGCTTAGAGGAATTTTGAGCAACATTATAAGCTATTGCTGGGTAGATGTTGACAAAAACTTCACCCATTTGAAGTTGGTGCAGCCTCATCGTATTCGAGAGTTGAAGGGAACTTAGCAGCTATCTAGGCCAAGGTTGATATTTTGACCAGATAGTTCTTTGTTGTTGGGGGTCTGTCCTGCGCACTGTAGGTTGTTTAGCAGCAGCGCTGGCCTCTACCCACTAGATGCCAGAAGTAATCCCAACTATGATAATAAGAAATGTTTCTAGATACTGCCCACTAATTTATGGCAGTTCCTCATGTTTCAGATATAGCCGTGTGTCTCACATGGGGTTATACAGGCAGTTAATGCACAAGTGTTACTAGACACCTGCTTCTTATGTTGGTCTTTTCATTGCATTGTATCATTCTTCCTCCCTCTTTTCATATTTTATGGTCTCAAAAGATAAGTTCAAGATTCCTTAGTACTTTAGCCAGTCCCAGTTCTTAGTGGTGACACACTTGAATAAATAGATCACGTGTCAACAAACATGGGCATCTAGAGAACAAATCA